AAATATAATTAGAATAATTATCGAGTTCCAACAAAATAAATAATTATTATCTTTATAAAAAATTATATTATTAGACCAAATATAAATTATTTCGTTATTGTACATAAATTAAATTATAAAAAAATTGAGTTAAAAATTACACAAAAAATGAGAAATTTTAAGTAGTTAATTTGATACTAATATTTTTGTCAAAATTTTATGATATCTTCAAAAATATATTTTATTCAAAAATAAAAGCATTATTGCTTTATCAAAATCACATAAAGCCATATTATAACATCGACAGAGATAAATAATAAAATAAAATATTAAAATCACGATGTATCTCACTGCATTGCGCGAGTACGCTTCTAGTATTCAATAATTGGTTCATTTTAAACGTATTAACAAGACGATAATAATAATGTTTGTTAAAGAAACGTATTCTTTATGTATTTTAATTAATATAATAAAAGTGTAAAATGAAAAATTAAAAATAAGAGATATAAAGTAAACTAAACAACTAATTATGAGGATGTAAAATGTAAAAATAGTTTACCACACATAATATTTTTTTTACACTTTACACCCTTTAATTTATTTTATATTCTTTTTTTTTTTCATTTTTCATTTTTATTATATTAAGACGAATAATCGTATATTAATTAAAATACATAAAAAATACATTTTTTTACAAATTACACTATCATAATCTTCTCGTCAATACATTTAAAATGAGTCCAACATTGAATATTTTTATTCGATTTTATATTATTATATATCGTAAATACATACGAATTATTTTTAAAATTAACATTTTCTACCCTTCTGGTTATCTATTTTTTTTTATATCTTTATTATATTAACACACAAAATCTTTAACTATAAAGGTAAAAAATGTAAATACTAAAAATAATTCGTAAGCTTTATAATATTTAATAATATAAGATTCAATTAAAAAATATTCAATATTAGACTCATTTTAAACATATTGACGATACGACTATAATTATATAACTTATTGAAAAACAAAAAAGTATTTCTTTTTGTATTTTAGTTAATATCTAATTATATATGTTAATATAATAAAGGTGTAAAATGAAAATAAAATAAAAATAAAGGATATAAAATAATTAAATAACTAATCATAAATGTGTAAATGTAATTTTTTTTATTAAGAATGTATAAATTAATACTAGAAGGGACTCGAACAATGTAGCGAGATACATTTCGATTTTAATGTTTTTTTTTTGTCTCAATCGATGTTATAATACGGTTTTATGTGGTTTTAAGAAAACGATGATGTTTTTATTTTTTAATAAGATATAAATATGAAGATATCATAAAAAAATGTAAAAAAAATATTGATATTAGTATCAAACTAACTACTTAAAATTTCTCCTTTTTTTGTGTATTTATTTAATTCATTTTTTTTATTCTTTATTTAATAATATAATTTTTTATAAATAGAATAATTAATTATGTTGTTATAACTCAATGATTATCTTAATTATATTCTAGATTTTTTTTTCTATATTTAAAATGAGATGTTTATCATTTATTTGGTTATATTTATTTACATTTAGTTACACGAATTCAAACATAAAGCTTTGAATCTTTAATAAGTTGTACTTACGTATAATTACTTATAATCTTGAATTTTATGTAACATGCATCAATAAACAATACTTCATACATAAAAAATGGTTTTTAAGAATTTTTATCAACTGTTATTTTAATATACTATAGATAATACGATTGATGAATATGAAAACTATAAGTTTTTTTTAAATGATTTCTCTAATTTATTAAATTTAATTTAATTATTTCTAGAAGAATATTAAATTATTTTATATTTTATTATGTTTTTGACAATTCTTCTCCATTTTTCTATCTTATCAACCCAACTTATTTTTCCACTCATACTTCCAAATCTTTCAATTTTTCATTCAATGACTCCAAACCTAATTTTTGAAATCATAGTCTTTGAATATTTTGTGGAAAATACTTCACTTCTATGCCTAACTTATGGCAATCCTCCTCTATATAAACCCTTTAAACCGAAGGCTTTTTAACCTATGTTTTGAAGGTTACTTACCGTATATACTAAACATGAGTTCTGTCAAAAATTATTCGATTCCGTTACTTGTTCTCTGTGTCTTTTTCTTTACTTTCGGTCAGGGAGCCAATTTCGATGTAGTAAACCAATGTCCATATACTGTTTGGGCCGCTGCCTCACCTGGTGGAGGCAAACGGCTTGAAACAGGGCAAACCTGGCCAGTCGTGGTGGCACCTGGAACCGCTAAGGCTCGTATTTGGGGACGAACTGGGTGTACTTTTGATGCCAGTGGGAAAGGAAAGTGTGATACTGGTGATTGCAATGGAATGCTTGAATGCCAGGGTTATGGGGCGCCACCTAACACCTTAGCCGAGTTGGCTCTTAACCAAGACAGTAATAATGACTTTGTTGACATATCTGTTGTTGATGGATTTAATATCCCAATGGAGTTTAGCCCGGTTGGTGCTTCGTGTAAGACAATGAGGTGTGCGGATCCTAACATCAATGCTCAATGCCCTGAGAAACTGCGAACCAAAGGGGGATGCAATAACCCTTGCACAGTTTTCAAAACTGTCGAGTATTGTTGCACCATTGAGTATGGTAGTTGTGGTCCAACTGAGTATTCCAAGTTCTTCAAAGACAGGTGCCCTGATGCTTATAGTTTCCCTCAAGACGACAAGACCAGTCTATTTACTTGCCCTGGTGGCACCAACTACAAAGTGGTGTTCTGCCCATGAACTCATTTAGTAAAACTATCTCTACGACGTTTTAAGATAACAGTGTTGGAATAAGAAGGGTTTAACCTCATCGATTATGGCTTCTCGAGTCTAGCTAAAGAAAGAAAAGGACATTTCCACCCATACCAAACATTCGTTTGGTTCTTGTATTACTGGAAATTCTCGAGTATTCAATAAATATGTGATGGTCTTAGTTACATTTATAGTCTACAAAATTGTGCCAATATGCTCCTTAACTCATAATCCTGAAAGTATTTCAAACGTTCATATAATGGAATAAGAAACACTGTTTGCCTCTAGACTCACACAATTTCACAATCAAAATCATACATCATTATTTCAAGTCTCGGCCTTAAAATCCAATCTAATCAATTGTTTTAAGGGCCAACAAAAATTAAACCTGAAAAAAAGCCCGACCAAAACCAAGACCAAAAAATCCTAGACTTTTTTGGTTCATCGAAAACGGGTTTGAAAGTTCCGGGCCCAGGTTCGAAAAATCCTTGGCTTTGTGTAGTGATGGCCAAAGTCCGGTCCCGGTCATCAAACTCAAGCCCGTTTAATTTGATCCATAACCGGTTATGGGTAACCGGTCCTTACAATTTTTTTTTGAATACATTATAAAATTTGTGATTGGGTTACTTAAATACATTTTAAAAATACGTTTTATTATAATTAAAATTACATTTAAATATTCAATTATTTGCGTTTTTACGTTTTGTAAGTTGGTATCTTACTCCATACTCCATGACACTTGTATATATATTGTTTAGAAGGCCAAAAGGACAAAAAAAAAACGATCAAAAAACACAAAACACGATCATATAAACCTTCCAAATGGTAAAAACGGCTCTTTTCTTGAACTCACCGGGCCGGTCCCACAAATCCGCCCAAAAACATAACCGGTCCTGGTCAGCGGTCCCTCAACCGGTCCTTATCGGTCCCTCAACCGGTCCTTATCGGTCCCGGGCCGGTTCTTTGCCAGTCCCAGTTCCGGTTCTCCGGCGGTCCCGGGCCATGGCGGGCCGGTTTGGTATCACTAGCTTTGTGCATCTCTAAATTTAATTTGTTTTAGAGGACTTTAATGGGCTAAATTCAAATTTAAGGGACTATTTAGAAAAATTAAATCTATTGTATAAATAACCCCCTTTTGTCTTCCTGATTCCGCTGATGTATACACACGACACGAGCATCGAAAAAGAGAGATCCAGTTGGGCATCCGATATTCTCTCCACCGGGATCTGTGCCGTTTGATTCCTCCATTTTTTCCGACAAAATGCCAAGAGGAAAGCTTGAGGTCCTCCTTGTTGGTGCTAAAGGCCTCCACGACACCGATTTTTTTAGTAAGTTCCGTGATTGATGACTTTTTACTGTTAGACTTGATCATGTCTGTAGAAAAAAGGAGCACGAATTTGAAGTAGTAATCTATGACTCGGATCTGATGATTCGGATCTGATTATATATATATATATATATGTTTATATAGTAAATCATTATTGATTACGTTTTGAGCACGATTAAATGATAATCCTTAATGTTACTAGGAAATTTGGAGGGAATAATTAGGCGGAAGTGAAAATCAGAAGTTGATGTAATGATGATCAAGTAAAATCGAGTGCACTTTGATCATATTTCGTATGAGAGAGTAAATGTCATAAAAACTGATTTAATTTGATGATTCTGATCCGATCATGTTTGTTTCTGTAATGAATTTAGATAGAATCATTAATGATTTACTATATGATCATACATAATCAGATCAGAATCATCGGATCCAAGTCATACACTACTACTTTAAATTCGTCATCCATTCTTCTACAAACATGATCTAGTCTAACAGTAAAAAATCACGATCAGGATCAATCCTGAAAAGTTATTTGCTAATCCTTCCCCCCCCCCCCCCCCCCAAACACAATGGTTAAGTCCTTTCCAATAATGTTATAATAATTTCATTGAAAGTTGTACATTGCTTTAGATTAAATCATATCATTTCTGCTTCTAGAAGGATTTTGTATTTAATTCAGCTTCACTATTGACCATCTGAATCTTTGTACATATTCATATGGACTTTAGGCAGTCGCGTTCTTCTTCTCAAGTGTTTGATGAATCTGTACTTTGTCTGCAGCGAAAATGGACCCGTATGTGACGATCACTTATCGAACTCAGGAGCAAAAGAGCAATGTGGCATCAGGTTCAATCTCTACCACTCTTTTGACGATCTTCCATTTTTGTGTTGTGTAGTATATAACTTTAATGGGCTTGCTTCAAATAAGAAGACTAAATATTGTGAGAAGTAAAGAAGAAAAAGGCTAGGGAAGGGTCATATGGGAATCCGAAAAAATTTATTTGAAGATGCGTATCAGCGTATGTGAGCCAACGTTCGTTACAGATTAATATGCATCTTTACATGGAATTTTTCAATGATTCACATATGAACATCCTCTTTTCTTTCCTTCATACTTTATTTAGCATTCTTATTTGAACCTGCCACTAGTATCGGTTGCGCCTAATGTTCTTGCTGAATGGGGACTCACAGGACAAGGATCTTCACCTGAATGGAATGAGACATTTGTTTTTTCTGTGGTGGGCTCCGTGCCAGAACTCGTGATCAAGATAAAGGACAGTGACGTTGGTTCTGAAGACGATATCGTGGGCGAGGCAAAGTATATATGATTTCTTCAAATCTCATAATTTAGCAAATAAAAACAGAGTTACATTTGCTTGTGTTGTATGCATGCAGAGTTCCACTTGAGCCGGTGTTTGTGGAAGGAAGCATCCCACCTACACCATACAATGTGGTGATAAATGATGAATACTGTGGGGAGATTAAAGTTGGCCTTGAATTCATTCCAGAGGTTAGTCATTTTCCTCTCTAACTTCCTACTCCCTGTTTTAGCAATCACAACACACACACACACATATAGGGTTGGATTCTGGTATAATGAAAATTACAATGAAAAGGGATTCACATTTGGATCAATCTTAATTGAAGAGAACCATCAGATCAATTCTCTTCTAAAACGCAATTTAAGGGTTGTCTTGGGATTAAAAATTACGTTCAAATTTCTTCATACACTTCTCAAATTAACTTCTATTATCACACGGTCATTCGTCTACATATATGACGATAATCAAATGAGAACCACAAAAATGTTACAAACTCGTGAATACCGATACAAAAATATTTTTTACATGAATTTTTTAATCAAAAGCCATGATTTATAATATTATTTCACATATGTTTATGTTCACCTTCCGAAAAAGTTACACGCGGAACTTTTCTTTTGTTCACTTAGTAAAACGAAAAATACATGTAAAAAACATTCCTATGATGAAACAAATGCATGCAAAACTATCACATTATGAAACAAATATGTCTGAAACAATATTTTAAATCCTACCATTTGATGAAAAACAATCATATAAAAAATAATTTTAAGTAGGTTCTTATGGATTTATAACCTTCTTGTTGTTCTCATTTGATTTAACCCTATATATATATATATATATATATATATATATATATATATATAGGGGTGGTTCATTGCAAACTTAAGTTTCTTATGAACCGGCGACAAAGGAGAGCGTGCCACGAGTCTCTGACAATCACCGGATATTCATCATGAATGGTGTAATATTCATCATGAATGGTGTAATATTCATCTTGTATGTCATAAAAAGTTCACATTCATTTTTGATGATGAATGAGAACAAATGGTAAAACGTGTCACACTCTCTTTTGTTCCAATCTTACAACAAAAAACATATTTGCAATTGAACATTCCCCTCTCTCTATATACACACACGCATGTATGTTTTTTAGGTTTTAGTCCTCTCTTTGCCTATAAAAAGGATTGAATTCCATCAATTCAATCATCCTAAAAACACCACAAATAAAATAAGCTTAGGCATAAACAATAAACATTTCCTCCTTGTTTTCTACACCAACATCCCATAGAGAGGGCTTTTTCGGTTCTAGGACCATGTGGCGGTAGGTCTTGACCGCATTGATTAGTGGCGCCTTCTGGTTGCCGATACCAATTTCAATGAACGTTCTTAACTAAATGAGTTAAGCTTAAACATTGCTTGGTTGAATTTCATATTTACACTCTTATTAAAGACCACGAAAATCCAAAGTGCAAACTGACAACAATATGATCCATGTGTTAAAAGGAGGATGCAAATGAAGACGGGTGTCATGGGGATGAGGGTGACTTTGGAGGATGGAAAGAATCTTCATACAAATGAACACGGGTGTTGTGGTATGACATGAGGCTATGTTGTCGAGTGTTGATGATTTGAGTGTTTTCATTTGGTCTGTATTTATGATAATCTTCAATTGCGAACCATTTGACTTCAAATCGAAAGAAGAAGACTTTGTTGCACGTATTATTACATGAGTCCATCTCCATGACTAATACTATCCGGTCAATAAACAGATAAATCATAAACCAAATCCAATAAATCCCACCATAAAGTGGGGTTAGAGGGAGGTGAGATGTATGTAGATATAAACATCACTATAAAAGAGTAGAGGGGTTGTTTTCGTGAAGGCCTTCGGCTTGTATAAAGTGTGCAAAAAAAAAAGGATAAAGATTTGTGTAAGAAGAACATAAAAAAAAAGAACTTGAAAACAAGAAATGAAGTGTCAAAATAAATAAATAAAAACAAATCAGAAGTAAGCAATCAAGATGAAATAGACAAATCGAAAAACCTAACCACAGTAGTAAAGACTACACAACCTTAGTCTAACCTAACCTAGGATTTAGGGGTCTAACTCATGGCTCGCTAACTCAATCCTCAATTTCTCCAAATCGTTCCTCCTGTCTAGGCTAGTTATACCGACCTGACCCTTAGTCTACTATCCTAATTTTATGTCTTCAAGAACTCTTATTAGAGGTTGTGTTCACGGAAATGCTTAAAGCTGCCATGTCTAACTTAAGTTATTCATCCCAAGTCCTCCTCGTCCTACCCCTCCTTCTCAGTCTCTTGACCCTACACTTTTTACCATCCTCATCGAAGCTGTCATTCACATCCTGTGAACGTGGTCGAATCCTCTCAATTTTCCTTCTCTCAACTTATTTGTGATGTGGGAAACTCCAAAACATCGCCTGCTAGACCTCATTTGGAATCTTGTCAAATATAGTTCGCTCACATGTCCACCTAAACGTCTTTATTTAAGCAAATACCCAACCTTTTCTCTTAGGGCTTTCTTGTCGTTCAATATTTTAATACACAATATAATCGGTCTGTTGGTTATCTGGTAAAATTATGAAAAAAATATAATACAAGAAATCGTTTTACGTCAAAAGTCACTTGTTCAATGCAAAGTTGTTTTCTTCGATTAATAAAAGAAATATGATTTGTTTGTAAAAAAATCCTAAAGCAATCAATTATTAAAAGTATGTATCAAATTTGAGGACATGGACCTCATTTTTCTCTCGATCTAATAATTATTAGGACCTCATTTTTCTCTCGATCTAATAATTATTAGGGGTGTGTATCGGGTGGGGTGGGTGAGAAAATAAAAAATCTGATTAGATTTCGGATATGGAAATCAAACCTCAATTTTTGGAATTCGGATATCGGATTGCTACGGGTTCGGGTCGGTCAGGTTTTGGGTTGAGATCGGTCGGACTCGGATTTAGTTGTAATGCAAAAGTATATATATCCAATCGATTTTGACGATCAACTCAATTGATTCAGATGATTGATAAATCAATAGTATGCTTAGAAATTAGAAAAAACACGACTGACTAAGATTTTTAGAATTTCCAAAAGATAATTAGATAAATAAATATAATTATATAGTATTTAAAATATATACGTATATATATTTCGGATTTTCGGATGGATCGGTTGGCCAAACATAAACCCAACCCGAACCCAAATTTTCCCCAAAAAGTCGGTTTTTGGATTTTCGGATTTCTGGACATTTGGGTTTGACATAAATAACTTACTTCCGATTTGGGTTTGGTTTCGAATTTTGGATAATTCGAGTCTTGTACACCCCTAATAATTATATATCCTCATTGAACTTGAATTATATTGCTTCTCATCATTTAACATATTTGGTTAATATATATCATTTTGGGCATAATATAAATTATTAACCTAAATGGAAAGCTCGTCGTATTTGGACACGTTAAACTTCATATCGCGTTGAGAATTTTAGCTAAAATAAAAGAATAAGGGGTCGTCAGACGGGTAAGCTTTTACCAATATTACTTACCTTACCGATTGAACATGACAATGACCGAGAATTTTACCTGATCAAATGCATTATCTGATAAATGAAAGAAAAGACTATTTTCTAATAAACACTTGTTAGGTTTAAGATCCTTACCAACAATCGATATTAACATGAGGCCCATGGGTAATTATACCAAGGAAGACGTAGATTCCTTACCTTTAAAATATCATAATTAAATGTATTTTGAAGTTATTTTTAATAACTCTTATGATTTTGAAGGTTTCTATGCAAATTCTTTCATGTTTTCTCTTTTATTTTAGTTGGGAGGGTTAAGAAACTCTAATACCATTAAAAGAAAGTGTCTGAATCATTAAAAAGTGAATCTTGTTTGACAAAAAAAAGAACTCTTAATGATTCTAAAACCCTTTGGATGATTTTGTATCCTAGACATCTCTTAGCCATTCAGCACCCATATTTTATTGTAAACAATTACCAAACAATTATATTTCATTTTACATTATATTATGAGAGCCTTTAAATCATTTTGCATCAAACTATTCAACCAAACAGCCTCTTAGTCTTTCCTATACCTCTTACGAGATAAATTATTGGTCATTCCTTTCAAAAATGCTTCGAGGTGTCGATACCTCCAGTATTTCATAATCTATTGAAGAAACAAGTGTTTTGATCTTAAATTGAGTCAAAATACTCGAGTTTGTGTACAAATATGAACTCGAGCTCAGGTTTACGGCCCAAACATCAAAGAAGCCCTGCAAGGAAATTGGTTATTTAGGGTTGAAGACAAACACTGCCTTTGCAGCATCCCGTTTGCATAAATCCCACAGCCATCATTTGACCATACCTCTTGAGGCAGAAGAGTATACACCACCCTATGGAGTGACCCCGCCGCACCGGACCCACTAGAGATGTAAACGAGTCGAGCTTTTCACGAGCTACTCGAGCTCGGGTCGATCTTGATCAAAAAATACAGTTTGTTTAACTTAATGAGTCGAGCTCCATAACACCAATGTTTTAGTCGACTAGTTCAAAAGCTCGATTAAACTTTACAAGTCAAATCGAGCCGAGCCATTCGAGCGTACACTAATTGAGTCAAACATATTTATATGTTTACGAATTATATAATCAAAATATGATATCATCAAAACTTGAGCAAATAAACAAGTTAACCGATCTCGAGTTCGAGCTTGAGCTCGAACATTAAAAAGATATTCAAGGTTGAGCTCGAGCCTGACTTTGAAAAAGTTAATCGAGCTCTATTCGAGCTCGAGCCTGATATTTATTATAAACTGCTACTTGACTCGGCTTGTTTACACTCGCAGTCCCCACGACCATCATGAGGAAGAAAATCACGGTGTCCCAGAGGCAGGTGGATGGGTGCCAAATACGTACCCGAGAATCCGAGACCTCACTTGTGATTCTCACCCCCTTACCGTTGAGACAATTTAGGGAGGACGATCGTCTCTTTTTATGGCGTTTGTATCAGTCATACGAGGGCACCAAAATGATTCACACCTAAATCTCGGGTTTTCTCATTGACGATGATACAAGTCTAGTTTATTAATTTTTACAACGAGTCTGCCGATTAGAGCGCGCCCACAAACTACTACTTAAAATTAACTAGCGTTTCATAGTCGAGTTTTATATAGAAAATAGATCATAATATCAAGTCAATTACCTCATTCGTCGCCGAGAAACCCCACCACCCGTCACTCCTCAATTCACCTTTGTTGGAGTTTCGTTCACACCCGTCTCCGCCCCATCACTACCTTCCTGAAACGACCCTGATGTTTGCCGCCCACTAACCGGAAATTCACCGGTAAGAGTTTTGACTGCAAAATCGAGGCACTGGTCGGTCCAACTAGGATCCCCGAGTTGATACGAGAGGTCATCCTCACCACCAGCTTGTTTTTCCACATTTACCCCTGATACCTGCTTCTCTTGAACCCCTCGACCATCATCTGCGGGAAGATCACGTGATTCGCTCTGGATAGTTTGGTCATTCGACATCGGGTCTCCCTTAGCCTCGGTCTGGGGACCTTTTAATCTTTTCGATGATCGAGCAGGCACAGCGGCTGCCGAAGACTTGCTACGGCTTGTGATCCTACTCTGCGCAATTTTTTTCGCCGCTCGACCGCTTGGAGGAGTAGAAACAGAGGTGTTTTCAGCAGTCTTCGGGTCGGTAACATGGTTCTCGTCATGAATTTGAGCATTCTGTTGCTTTACCGTGGAGTTCTCTGCAGAAGTTCGATATTAGAACTCGGTATTTCGTAATAGAAACGGCAAATTAGCATCTAAAGGTGAAGATATAAATCGTTTTTCATTCTCACCTTCAAAGAGTTGTTTCCTAGCTGTGGCGTTCCCCGGTGTTTGCACATCAACGGTCTATAAGAAAACAACCAGGCCAACTTAGCAAGTATTCCAGCCAGTGTACATAGGGGTGTCAACAAGTCGAGCTTTTAACAAGCTACTTGAGCTTAATAATTCTCGAGCTCGAGTTGATCTCGAACAAAAAATAAAGCTCACTTAACTTAACAAGTCGAGCTCCATAACACCAATGTTCGACTCTGACTCTGACTCGTTTGAAAGATCGATTAACCTTTACGAGTCGAGCCGAGACATTTGCGCATACACTTTTTTGAGTCAAACATATTTATATGTTCACAAATTATATAATCAAAATATGAGAATCATCAAGCTTGAGCAAATAAACGAGTCAAATCAATCACCAGTCCGAGCTCGTACACAAGCATCGAGCTCGAGCTCAAACATTGAAAAAATATTCGAGCTCGAACTCGAGCCCGACTTTGAAAAAGTTAATCGTGATCGAGCTTGATATTATTTTTTTATACACCCCTAAGTGTACATAGCCCCAAAGTCCCACTCACAAAAGAGAAGCAAATTAACAAAAAGGTGAAATCCATATTTTCTATTTTGTGGCCTAATTTTTAATGATTTAGGGGCCCTTTACCAAACTCTTACCGCGTAATAACTGGTGTCACTTACCTTATTAGTGAGCATGCAAGGACCAAGAATCCTACCGTGTAAGAAGCATAGCAAGGACCGAGAATCCTACCATGTAAGGGACATAGCAAGGACCGAGAATCTTACCCGGTAAGTGAGAGAAGACTCTTACCCGGTAAACGCTTGCAGTGTAAAAGACGTTCACCACAATCTATTTTGAATATCGAGAATGTTACCCGATAAGGTAAGTGAGGGTGATAACTCTTGCTGATAGGTACTTACCCGGTAAGAGAGTTCGGTAAACGGCCCCTTACAGGGCCGTTTATTAGCACTTACTGGGTCACTTTATATTATGGGGTGAACATGACAAGGATTGAGAATCTTACATGGTAAGAGCCATGACAAGGACCAAAAGCCTTACCCGGTAGGCGCTTACCGCATAAAAATATTGCATGCGATGTTGTTCTAATGGATTAAAATCTTGCACAGTAAGTTACGTGAAAATGTTACTCTTACCACCCGGTAAGCGCTTACCAGGTAAGCATTGGGTAAACGGCCGTAAGTCATTAAACACTAAGCCAATGTGATCGTGCTGTTAAAATCAGAAAAATATGTTTTTGTGTGCCAGGGGGGGTGGGTTGGCCTTGCAGTGGATAACATTATAACTGGCTACAAGCGAATGGAGGACTTACAATCTCGTTTCCGTTCTCATCCTTTTTCCTTGGTCTAATAGCACACAAGTTTATGTCCCCTGTCTCCAAATAGCGCAAAGCATCCAACTTGGAGCGAAAGATAAAGCCACTCTCAGGGTCCGTGTAGTACTGCATAGATCCCACTCCATCAGATGTTTGATGATAAAAATTGTATGGAAAATGACGATAATTTGCAAAAGGCTTGTTTAGTACTAGGTTTTCGACACGCCAAAAAAACATTCAGTACCGGATCCTTTCTTTCGTGGGTTGAGTATTTCCGAGTTCTGATTTCTTTTATCCATCCTGGTGGCAACCCGTCAGCTGGAGATGCTGTGACAAACTATATATTTCAAAAGTCAGGTGGGCATATCATATCAAACACCGACCGGCAAAATGCATCAAAATCCAACCAAGTTTCAAAATTTCCTAGTTTGTACCCATTTTGACCGGTAACCTACTGATCTTGTTAACATTTGATGACGAGGATACCCGTTTACTCGACATCCATGTCTTCAAATGTTACCAGATCAACAGTTTACCGATCAAAATGAGTACAAGATAAAATATTTTTGAACTTTGTTACATTGATTGAGAAAAAAATAGGAACCAAGGCAAACTTCGTTGCATTTTGATGCATTTTGCCCAACACGGACAAGGCTTAACAACATTATCTGAACAGGGAGAAAGAAACGAACTTCTTTGAAAGTGGAATTCTGGACGTTCTTTTTCTTCTTTTTGGATCTTTTGCGGCGCCTTCCATCAGCAGCTTCCGAGTTCGAGGATGAATCAGGGTCTACAGCGAGTTGACCTCCCTTAAAGAGTTGAGATACACATGTCAGATAACCAAGGTGACTTATGGTGAAAACTTATCTGATGCTATTTTAGGATACACCAAAAAGGGAAATTGACTAAAATAGCCAATCACATCAACCAAATTCACGTTTTAGCCACTTTTCAGAGAGAAATTTACACAAATAGCCATTTCACAAAATTGATTCAACTTTTTAGCCATTTTAGGAACATTTTTCCTTAAATAGACAAAGTTTGTTTTCAGGCCAAAAAAATTAATTTAAAAAGGGTATAAAATGTAAGTACTAAAATATCAAAAATACGTACGAATTATTTTTAAAACTTACAATTTTTATCTTTATGGTTATTTATTTAATGTATTTTTATTTTTATTTTTCATTTTACACCTTTATTATATTAACACACATAATTTGTAACTATAAGGGTATAAAATGTAAGTACTAAAAATAATCCGTAAGCTTTATAATATTTAATAATATAAGATTAAATCAAAAAAATATTTGATATTGGGCTCATTTTAAACGTATTGACAAGATGATTATAATGGTGTAATTTGTGAAAAAGAAACGTATTTGTTTAATATATAATTATATATAATAAAGGTGTAAAAGGAAAAAGGAAAAAGGAAAAAGGAAAAAGTAAGGGGCATAAAGTAAATTAAATAACTAATTACCAGGGTGTAAAGTGTATTTTTTTTACTAAATTGAAAAGTTTAAGCAGAAATGGTTCTTAAAGTGGCTAAAAAGTGAAATCAATTTTGTGAAATGGCTATTTGCGTCAATTTCCGCTTTTCAGAGCCTCTTCCCAAAATACCAAAAAATGAAATTGACTGAAATAGCCAATCCTATGAACCAAATTCACTTTTAGCCACTTTTAAGAGCCTCTCCGAAAACAGCCGAGTCTTTAAGCAGATGCTTTACGCATTTGCATAAAGACTGATTTCTAGGAGAGACAAAAAATCATTGCGCATATGCGTAAGGGTTCTTTACGCAATAATCTGAATCTTTATGCAAAAAAATATTTTTTTATTAAATCTGAAAATCGAGTTTAAACAAATGTGTAAGACATTTGCATAAACTGTGGCTAAAATGGGAATTCAATTGAACAAGTGGCTAAAAAGTGAGGTTGGTTGGGAAGATTGGCTATTTTGGTCATTTTCCCCACAAGAAGACGATGCTGGAAAGATTTACTAACGGTATCTGTGCGTATTTTTCTCTTTCTGGAGTTGCTACTAGCATTTCCATTCGCAAGATAGTTCAGCACCTGTGGCTTAGAATAGAACTTTCGCCCACTTGCAGATTCCATGAAATACTACAACAGCAGAATGATAACCAGATTGTTAGAGAAAGTCTCTTCAGAAAAAAAGAAAAGGAGAAAAACATCTGTTAAAATCTATCACAACATGTGAATTCCATCAAGGTCAGTTAGAAAATTACTCCCTCCGTCCCAAAATAAACCTCTACAATGCAAAATGCACTTAGTTAGAAATGTGTAGTTATTACACTTTTTAGTTAAATAAATGACAATTTTACCCTTGATGATAAAAGAAGTAATGAATTTCTCCATCTCATAATCAAGGGTAGAATCGGAAAGTAGGCACTTATTTTGGGACAAATAAAAATAAAAATGGGGACACTTATTCGGACGGAGGGAGTATCAGTCAGACAAACTAGATGAAAGAGTATCGATATGTTAGAAGATGCAGATTGTTCCATAAGAGCAAACCATCAGATAAATTAATGGATAAAAAGGCTGCAACCTCAGACTAGTCGAAGATGGTTCAATTTCATGGTTCTTGTCTTTCATATAACCTCGGTTTTAGTTAATCAAGATCAATATCAAGGCATGTTGCTGATGAATGGGAAGTACATATTCTAAAGCTTCTGTTTCCAATTACCTTCAATCTCAGTCCATTACTTCGAACCTTCACTTCTGAAATCCATCCTTCAGGTAGCCAGTCAGATTCATCTTTCTGGGATGCAATAGGCGTAGATCCAACTCCAGATAAACGACGAACCTTTCTCTGAATCACCAATCATTAATTATTTACATTTTTTTAATCTGGATTGTATTTATAGTGCAAAACTTTTTGGCACTGAGTAAGACTTGCATCCCTTTTCAAAATGAATATAACACTACAAAACAGAAAGAATTAAGAAAGATTTCCAGGAAAAAATGACCAAATGCATCATCACACAACAAAAGTTTATGGTGATGGATTTATCTCGTTGGGTTCCCTTCACAAATAGGGCAGTATCTCAATGTAGAATATCAATTCAAAAAGAAAATTCTTTTATCAAAAAATTGTATGGGAAGTTGAACTTTGTCTTGTACATGAGCTAGATGTGAAGCAGATTTACCGAAAGTTGAATGGGAGCAATAAGAACCATATCTTAAAATCCGATAAAATGAGCAGATTTACCTTGTCACGACCATTTGATAACACTTCGGAAGTTTGACTTCCTTTGGATGGATCAGTTGGTGAAGCCAATTCTCCTCCAGCCAGATTAGCATTATGCTGAACAGAAACAGAATTTAGGAGTACATGATGCTGATGATTCATAGTCCATCTAGTAAACATAAAACACTTAGAGAAGCCATATTCCATAGAAAAACTTAAAGCCAGCAAATTATACATGATATAAATAAATAAAATGTTGGCTTTAAGTTTTTCATATGACCCAAATAGAACTTTGAATTTTGGAGTCATGGACTTGTTAAAGAAAGGGAAACTGCACTTCCTTTTTTGAGGGAGTCCATGATTTACAAAGAGAACATAAAAGGACTTTAGCAACAGAAACCACAATTTTCTTTTTTTCTTTTTGATGTAAGTGGTTGCAAGTTAGAGGAGAACATACATAGTCTTCTTCATTCATATCCTTTCTCAGTGGTCTCATGGCGCATTTCTTTATGTCCCCAGAATCCAGATAGCGCAAAGCATCCAATTTCGAGAAAAAGATGTAGCCACTCAACGGGTCTACGTAAAACTGCATGGATCCAGACCTCCATCAGACTTATAATTCTAATGCATTTAAGTGAAAATGACTTTCTGAACATAGAGCATTAATACTCCCTCCATCCGAAAATAAGTATCCATATTTCTATTTAGTTTCCAATTCTACCCTTAATTATAAGATGCAGAAATTTGTTACTCCCTCTATTATTAAGGGTAGCATGGTCATTTAGTTAATTAATAACTGTGTCTCTTTTTTCATGGAGGAAGTATGTTTTGTTCATACCCATATAAGAATTCTAGATATTCAGAATTCTACTTCTACGGATCATAGTTCCATGATAAACTGTAATGTTAGTCATGCAAACAACAAAAACCAACATAGGTTCCACATAAAACTTTCATATATTCTTTGTTATGTTAAGAAGAAATGAGTGTTTTCCTTCCACTAATTGCAAAAAGGGCTCATTTAGTATCAATTTTACACATACCAAACAGGGAAGAAGAAGAAGAATAAAACGTTTGGGTACCGGATCTTTTTTCTTTAGGGATCCACAGTTTCTCAATCTGATTTCTTTTATCCATCCCGGGGGCAACCCATCTGCAGGAGCACTCGAGATTACCTGGATATTGCTCCATAAATCAGACGGTCACATAAAACCAACAATTGGAACATTCAAATTTAGCATGATCTTGGAGGTTAAGATGAAACGAACTTCATAACCAAAGCGGGTGCTTTCTGTCTTCTTTATGGTTTGATCCTTGTTGACATCGGTGGCTCCATTTTTCTGAGACTTGTTCGGTTTTGTAGAGGATCTATCTCCCTTAAGAGTTGAGGTACATGATGCAGTAACAAGTCAGATAACCAAATTAAGTAGGGGGGATGTTAACATGTTGTAACTTGAAGAATTGACACTATTTTGGAAGCCACACTAAATGACAAAAGATAATTGAAAGGTTGATACTGGGCCGGCACTAAAGTGCAGGTGCATACTTCTCTCGGTCCGGCCGGACTGCCGTTTTTGCTTGCAAGATAATTCAGCACCTGGGGCTTTGAAAAGAATTTCCGCCCAGTTATAGGATCCGTAAAACACTGCAATAGCAAAGCAACATAAAAAGATTGTTCTAAAACATCTGGTCAGAGAAGAAAAGAGGACAACAATTGCTATCATCAATCAACCAGACCAAAAACACAATGTTTATGACATTTTCAGATTTCAACCAACATGATTGTAGATTGCGGATAGGTCACATATCCAAGAAAAATAAAGAAGGCTTAGAATAGAATAGATAAACATACAAAATTGTTGGCACTGTTATACAATTAAATCATATTCAGGTGTAGTTGATCAAGAGTGAAAAGTTTAAAAATAAGTTGGTGAATGGAAACTGCATATTGGCAACATTTTTCTTCAATTACCTTATATTTCATCCCAGTATGGCCACCAGATGCTCTAGTCTTCACTTGAACAATCCATCCATCAGGTAGCCACCCGTCTTTTCTTTGAGATCCTTCAGCCTCAGAGGAAGATCCATCTCCAGCTAAATTACCACTAGTTTCCTGAATCACCAAGTGCTACTTTATTGTAATTCTAAGTTGGGGGTAAAGTGGCAACTGGCAAACTAAACAAATACACAAGTCATAGCCAGGTTACAAAACGGCACTAAAAGCAGAAGTAAGAAAGAGGGAAAAAAGTTATTGAGAAAACGATGCTCAAGGCTTGATACTCTCCTTTCACTATTTGACAAATCGATCCCACTTTCTTAGATAAAATATTTTACTCTATAAGATCAGAATAACACTATCCATGATGATTCTATGACATAAGTAATGAAACAATGTTAAAGAATAATCTAACAAAGATGCATTAGTTAGAAGTGCAAAAATCAAATACAAATCACTCATCTACACTAGCTATTGTGAGTTTTCCTTTTTCTTGAAAGATTCCAATCCAAATTAACCTATTAGCCCATAAGCAATATCATAGCATATTGGTCAGATTTATTGTGATTCACAAGTGTTCATGATATTGTCTTATTAAGGAGAGATTTAGGTATTCAATTATTAGTCAAAACTTACTTAGTCTATATGCCAAGCCAAAAATTGCATCTTTTTAAGACACAAAGGGCGAGAGAGACTCCCTTACAATGACCAAACATTTACAAAAAGGTATAATACTGACTTCAGCAAGCTTATAGTAACTTCTTTTACGACTCAACCAAAAAAACAAGCAGAAGAGAACCCAAATGAAAGCACGGTAAATGAGCCAAAAGACTGGTACTGTGGTACATGCTAATTAGGTCAGATGGGCTGTCGAACTCATTACGATGCAGTTTCAGTGGATTAATTTCTGAAATAACCAACATAGTGTTGCTTCCATGTCTGGATGCCCATACAGATTAGTTAGGGAGGAAAAAAGACTAGCTCTTTTCCTTCCATGGTGAAATGTTTATCAATAGTAATGAGCTGTAGGTAATTACACATGGAAAGCAATGATGAGCAGTGTTGCCATCGCATCAGATAGTGGACATAGCAGAAGCATCATAAGCCAGTTGTCATATGATTCCATGAACTCATCATGACCTTCAGATTAGATCCTATAGGGTGTATTCGGTACAAGGGTGGGACTGGATGGGTGAGAGTGAGGTAGGCGGGTGAAAAAATTATTGAAAGCATTAGGGTTTTAATTTGACATGGGTAGTTAGTAATTATCAATCTAGTCCTATCTCATTATTTTGTTCCACCTATTTTGCTGGGATAGAAGAAATGAATTATTGTCTCGCTCAGGCACTGTCCTGTCCCAGTCTAATGTTACGCCAAACATGGGACAACAAGTTCTTTATCGTACTGTCCTGTCGATCTTGTCGCTTATCAAAAGCACCCATAATAGATGCCGTTAAATGCATTTTAGATGAATCTTTCCTCACAAATGTCCTTTGATCGATGCTCTCTCTATACATATGATGAAAACGCCTTTAAGCAATGACATGAATGGGTAAAGACTTGGTTTTAATACCTTTGATTTCTTGTTGCTACTTCCAGTTGCCTGTCTTGTAGAGTGTCCTCCAACTTCATTTGTATGGGGCACATTTGGCTCCAACGATACGTCTCCAGTTGAGCCATTGGCATTATGCTAAATAAAAAACAGGTCTGTAAGAATGATAGGAGTAAAGAGAAATATATCCAAGTGAAGGCTGACAAAAGGTATGCATTACAGTCTTCTCACTGGCTGTGCTGCCGTCGATTGTCTTAAGATGCCGAAACACTTGCGGCTTCGAATAGAACTTTTGTCCTTTAGGATCTAGGTAACACTGCAACAGCAAAAAGGAATACAATTATTTGTAGAAATAGGCCATTACATTAACAACTCTACCTTCGGCACTATTCCAAAGGGTGTGAAAGTGCTGCTATAATGTCACATTTCAGAAAAAGGCACTCAGAATGGAAGATATGGATTTATAAAACTACACTAATGGCCAATCTATATCTTCGCTCTAAATCAAGGTCTCGCAAGTTATATCATGTTTAGCGTGTGTTCTGGTATGAGGACGGGACTGGACATGACTGACCGGGCGAGAATGATGAAAAAGGTTTCAAAAAGTTCCTACTTAATATAAGAAAGTTCAAAAATTCCTAGTAGTTCCCCTTTATATTGTTAACATGTGACAACATGAATGTCAAATTTATCGTCCACTTGGCCATTAAACTTCCGTTAACAGGTATCCACATCATCAAATGTTACAGAATCAACACGTTGCTGGTGAAAATGGTACAAAATAGGAAAGTTTAAAACTTTGTTACATCATTTAAAAAAAATATATATTCTTCGCACTAAATAGAAACTAAAGCAAACTTTATTGCAATTTGTGCCCCCAACGAAGGGAAACATTTAACGGACATCCAAGTTCAGCAATTCAACTGGTGTCTAGCAGTAATCTAGTACTTGGTGGAGTAACCCTTGTAGTGTTTTAAGATTTAACACAGCTTTTGGCAGTTCAACTTTATGTAACAATTACAGTTTAAAGCAATCATTTTCCCAATGACTACGAGGATTTCATTTTCCGTAAAAAACATTTGGACCAAAAACTACCTTCCTTCAAAAATACATTTTTCACTTTTGAGGTCAAATGGACTACATTTTGGTTTCAACATTAATATGAGTTGGGCAAAACGCAACCAAGTTTGCATTAGTTCCAATTCAAGTATTTAGTACAGAAAATAGTTTTTTCCCTCAATCAATGTAACAAAGTTTCAGATTTTTCTATTTAATGTAACAAAGTTTCAAAATTTTCTATTAAAGTTTCAAAATCTCCTACATAACATCGTACTAACCTCCACAGAACACAAACCCAATTGGCTAAAGAACGAGGGCCTGCCCTCACTCAGTGCACCTCCCCTGTAGGTAAGGACGAAGTTAATTAACATTAATCTTCAATCCTTACCACGCCACAGGGTATGGAGCCACGTCATTCGTATTTAATGTAACAAAACTTCAAACTTTCCTGGTGGTCTACTGGTTTTGTAACATTCAATAACATGGATGTCAAGTTTATAGTCCACTTAGCCATAACCGTTTCATGAATGGGTATTCACATCATCAAATGTTACAAGATCAGCAGGTCATCATCAGTCAAAATGGATGCAGAACAGAAAATTTTGAAACTTTGTTACAACAAAAAAACTCTTTGTTCCACTAAATAGAAACTAAAAAAAATGTTGCATTTTGATGCATTTTGCCCATATCGATTCTTCAAAGTTTTCATAACCACATCGAACTCTACTCTTGTTCCCAATATAATGAGATAAACTTTGGTCCAGGTTCATGAGAAAAAAACTTCCCAACTACACTTTACTTCATAAAGGATATTGTAAATATTTCCTACAAGTGTACATTAGGGGCTTATAAATCGTGTTAATTCATGACTTACCCATCTTCATTTGTTCATTTTTCCTCCTATTCAAGCAAATAGAACAAATATGATCGTTACTTTTGTAGCACCACATACTACCCACAAATGAAAACATAAGCTATCAAAACAAGTTAAACCTAAACTTAAGTTCTAGGCCAATTCATGTTTTCAAACATTCTCATGTGAAAGTTGTGTACATTGGGAGTGATTAAAAAACCCCTCTCATATAACATCGATAATCTCAAATTTGCATTAAAACCACAACAGTTTTACCTTTAATAAACTAGGTTTGACCTAAAATCAAAGACCACTTCTTTAATTTAAAGAACGGAGTAACATCAACTACAAATGGAAAACGATCAACCTAACAAAACATCATAACCTAATTCGGTCATGTACATGCAAAATTAACTCCACAAAATTCACATGCAGTTAGTCATTTAGCTACAAATTCAAAATCAAAACAAGAACCACAAAATCTGCAGCAACTACAGAGTGAAGAAAAAAACCCTACTTGGAAGTTGGAAGAAATCGAAGACTTAGGTTAAGAATTACCTTAACTTTCCGCTCATCGATCTTTCTGATTTGTACAGTCCAGTCGCTAGGAAGCCACTCCGGCCAGTCATCGGGAGCCATCCGGTGGAATTTTACGGTGTCGCCGACGAGTAATGTTAGTGTGTGTGTATGTGTGTGTGTGTTGGAAGTGAGATGGTAAAGGTAAAAGCAAAAGTAGAAAGGTCTCGTTTTTCAAAGACGGATTTTAAGCTGTGTGTCACGTGCGTGGCATATGCCGACACGTCAGATTAATATACACGTGTCAAACTGCCAGTTGTAGTTTTGGGTTTGCAACGGCCCATTGGATCTATTGGGCAGATTGTTTTTATTGGGCTCCCAACTTCCAATATCATGAATATATCCTGCCATGTCATCATTAGAGTAAATTACGGATTTGGTCCATGTGGTTTGATAGTTTTTATAAAAATGGTCCCTAAACTTTATTTATTATAGATTGGGACTTGTGGTATGTCATTTTGTAACGAATTGGTCCATTCCTCTAATGGTCATTCAGTTCCTTCGTTAACGTTGAGGACATTTTCGTCCTTTTCCTTCTTTTTTCGTCTTTACTCGAGATACCAGTTTCGTAAAAACCATACAAATATTTATTATAGATTGGGACTTGTGGTATGTCATTTTGTAACGAATTGGTCCATTCCTCTAATGGTCATTCAGTTCCTTCGTTAACGTTGAGGACATTTTCGTTCTTTTCCTTCTTCTTTTTTAACCACAAGGGTGGTGCCTGAATGGTTTGAGCTTGGCTCCAAATATCAAAAGTACCAGGAGGTCCCAGGTTCAAATACAAGAAAGAATAAAAATCTTCTTGTGGCCACGGGAATTCAAATGCAGTGACTCCGGGCTATCTGCAAAGCAGGCGGTCGTCTTGGAATTAGTCGGCTCGCATAATGGGTTGGATATCCAGTTTATTCATAAAAAAATTACACTTTGAGTTTATTAAATTAATTAATCATTATATTTTAATGTATATTGATTATTATACTTTAAGTTTAATTTTAATATATAATGTATTTTTATAAAAATGGTCCCTAAACTTTATTTATTATAGATTGGGACTTGTGGTATGTCGTTTTGTAACGAATTGATCCCTCCCTCTAATGGTCATTCAGTTCCTTCGTTAACGTTGAGGACATTTTCGTCCTTTTCCTTCTTTTTTCGTCTTTACTCGAGATACCAGTTTCGTAAAAACCATACAAACCACAAGTACCAGTTTTGACTAAACTTATTTCACTTCTTTAAACAACACTTTTTGGAGTATAATCTCATGAAATTTCACATATCTCACATAGTATCAGAGCTCAAGTTAATATTTAAAAAGAACTCACACACCCTAGAGCACAACTGCACACGTTTTGTCTAACCTCTGTTGCAAGAGTCTTGTAAAGTACTACATCATGTCACACCCTACCTAGGCGGAAACGCGAAGTGTGACGGAGAGGATTGTCATAACACAATGATATGATAATAGAGAACTCACTAAATGAATATTAATCCAAGTGTCATGACGTCTCTTCCTCGTCACAAGTGGAGACTTGTACCGTGGTTAGACAATTCCATGGCATCACATAGTCAACAAAATTTCAAACAAAAGTACTTAGTCACAAGCAAAAAAAAACCACGCGGGGAATCTCTTAGGTCTCTCTAAGGTCCACAAGCAACCCTAGCACTCTTAGCCATTTTGATGAGTATTACCTGAAAATGAATTCTCGAAAACGTCAACATAATGTTGGTGAGCTCGTAGATTTAAATAACAAAAGAGGATTTGCTGTGTATTTGAGAGCGTTTAGGAAAACAGTGTGTATACATATATCGCAATTCAGCACTAATACATAGGAATAATTGTATAACCAATTTAATCATACAACAAAAACATGATAGGTTTCCAAACATGTCATCTACCAGCTGGAGTTAAACCGTTGGCTTAATAGGAATATAGGAATCACATCTTATATAGGAATCAAACACTAGTACTTTCATTACAATAATAAACACACAAATTGTGCAAATAAATAGAAGAAAGGGTTCAACACAGCTTAGAAACAGTTAAATAGCTTTTGAGTATCATTCCCCCCCCCCCCCAAAAAAAGAAGTATATAAGTAAAAAGGGCCACGAAACTCACCTGTGAGTGGATGGTATTAGGTATGCGAGAGGTCAAGTAAGTAATTTACAATTAAACAAGGGTGTGTGTGAGCTACATATGGCCATGGCTTAAAACCTTACCATTGTAATCTCGTAATCGATGGAATATACATGATCGGTCTGGTATTTCTAAAGGACAATTTTACCAAGCGTCGTAAAACTATAAGTCAATTAGTTGTGGGTAGTCATCTCGACCTAAGTATCGATGGTTTGCCCAAGTTTTATAAGTTTGGTTTCTTAACCGAAATTTTAGGTTACTTCAATAATTTTTCCTATATCTTAAATGAATTAGATAAGGTTCCAAAATTTAATGGTAGAGACTTCCGAGTCTTAGGTATTTTTCAGAATTTTTCCTTAATTTTAATTAATGTTTTACTAATTTTAAAAATAACATAAAAGTACAAGTCAGTAAATCGTTCTGTTTTGCGCAACAGAAAGTTATATACAAATTAAAATGCTTAAAGAGCTCCAAAAATTCTGAAATTTTTACAGAGACTAATAGACATATTGAACTCAATCCATAAAAGTTTTACCAAAGAATTCGAAAAAAAATGAGGGAGTTGTGAGGCACCCAAAACGTCCTAGATTCTGTCAAAAAATTCCAGCTTTGCGACCCTGAACGGTAAAGGCTTTTTGACCAAGTTAATTTTGTTGTTTTGACACAAAACTACTTGGAACATAAAGTAGACTCATTGAACTTGAACCTAGACCCAAAATTCGTATTTTAACTCCATGTTATGACTGAGATACGGCCTCTCCAAGTCAGCACATTTTCTGCCCAGATTCTGGAATGGATCAAGCGACATTGTTTTTACTAAACAACCACACTAAGGACTCTATTATTAGCCAAGACTCATTAAAACTTATTCTTTTTATAAAATCTAAATGTTTTTAATCAAAAATATATTCCATCCATTAGAGTTACATTAACAATCGAATGAAAATCATAAAAACGATAGAAAGACAAACAAGGTGAAGGTTTTTACCAACTCAACGATTTGTGATGAAGATATCACTTGTAGGCTTCAAGTACCCTTCATGGATCATTAGAAAAATAGAAGAAAATTATATTTCTTCTGGATTTAGAGAAGAACTTATAGAAGGAATCAAAGGAACTTGTTTCTTGCAAGTTTGAAGAACAAAACTTTGAATAACTTGATAGTGATGATGATTCTTGACCACGCAAACAAGAGGAAAAAAAGAGAATGTTGTGTTTTGTTTTTCTCATGAATGAGAGTAATTAGGGTTTAGGAGGAGATAAAGAAGTATTGAAGATTATCAACAACTAACTACTATATTTAAATTTTGAAAAAAGAAAAAGAAAAGAAAAAAAAGACCTTACGTTTTCTTCCATGGATAATTATACATAAATATATTATTTAATTTATTTAAAACTACTTGATTTATTTCTTTATATGATAAGCTTATTTGATAATATTAGTTTTTTTTATTAGTTTTTTTTAAACAACCTAACTAGTTAATATTATTAACTCAATTCATTTACCTAAGGCTTTTAGTCACCGATACAATACACATAAAACATTTGTATAGACCAATTATGTACTCGGGAAAAGAAATTCAACTTAGGAATTATGAACACTTAGCTTTCCTCTACTATTAGAATGACTAGAGTACTTAAGGGAAAAAAATGAACTCACCCAACTCCTAAAATTTCACACCTTATGTTTCAGGAAGCATGTGAGCACATAAATTTACTAAAAGGGCTAACGTTAGATTTCGAGTTACGGTTGACTAACCTGGTTTGGTGACGGATGTCACACATCAGCTAACCATTTTTTCTCTGTATATGTTGTAACCTCGCTTCTTTTTTTTTTAAATGTCATTTTAGAGAATAATCTGAAAGAATTCCATATACCTGAAACCAAACATCTACAAAACAGTCTTTTTCAAGTTTAACCGAATTTTTCTAGGCTTTTTCAAGCCGGGCTTTTTTCTTTTTTGTGCACATCTAATTACCCGTTTGAACAAACAATAAATACAAAAACTTCAACAAATCCTCATCCATTTCATTACTAAAAAACCCGAAAGATGTTAATACAAAGACACCGAGTTTTGTCAGCACGGAACTCACTCTACACTCTTACGCTACGACAAAAATTTACATAAAACTCATCGAACGAAATCAATCGAGCAACAATCTTTGACCCGGTATCGACAATATCACATACGTATACGTATAATATATATCTTTAATTTACAGTTTGTTAGGTTTTAGAGCTGGGATCAAGAGGAAAGAGCAAGCTCTGCCCAAGCTAAAGAAGATGCCTTGAGCTCTGAAGAAACCGAAGTATCGATTTTGCTTTCCAAAATCGCGCACAAATCTTGCATCGAGACTTGATCTCGAGGCCTTAAATGAATACAAATGGAAACTATTTCACATATCACCTTCAGATCTTCCTCCCTGAAGTGTTTAAGTGCAGGATCTACAACAGAAGCCATCTCTTCAGGTTTTTCAAGATAATCTTTAGCCTGTCAGCAAATTGAAAGACTACCCATTAATGAACATGAAACAGTTCGTGGTTTTTGAACTGGGGTTGTGTCTTTTTCACTAAAAAGGTACAACTTTTTATGCACAATGTACAGAAGCTATCATCTCTGCAAGTTGAAAGAGGATCCACAGTTAACTTGATGAACATGAAAGAATTTGTGGTTTTTGAACTGGGGTTGTGTCTTTTTCACTTAAGGTACAACCTTTTATGCACAATGTACAGAATCTAGATTCTTTCCAAGTTGGCATTCAAGGATCCACAGTTAACTTGATGAACATGAAAGAATTTGTGGTTTTTG